TTGCAACGAGCTTTGCTCTAGTTATTATTATTATTATTCCTGGGAAAATTTTGTCCTCGAGTGATCTTGTAAACTATGCATCCGACTAAGGTTAAATGTTTTTAGGGTCAGTAGACATGTTATGTAGATTTGCCGAACGAAGGTCATTTCGTGCAACACGAAAAATGACGATTTAATTGATATCGGCGTAACTTTTTACATTTTTGATGAAATGCTTTGAAACTGATACTGAAAGGATATATTAGTAGCATAGACAATAAGACATGGTCTAAATAGCAAGATCTCTCGCGCATGCACGTGCGCTTCGCTCTGATTGGCTGAAACTAAAGTCTCAATATCTTTCTTGTTTTTTGATGAAATCCTTTGAAATTTTGAACATAGCCATGCATTAGGATATCCTACAAAATGATATATAAAAATTATCATGAAAACACGTGCATGCACGTGCGCTGCAATCTGATTGGCTGAAACTTTAAATAGCTATAACTCCCTTGGTTTTCAACCAAACAGGATGTGATTTGTAACATAGATAGATATAATATACTTCTACAAGAAGGTATGGTCACCATGCACATCCATACACATGCGTGAACAAACGCTGCAATCTGATTGGCTGAAACTTTAATCAGCTATAACTCCCTTGGTTTTCAACCAAACGGAGTGGGATTTAGAACATAGATAGATGTAATGGACTTCTACAAGAAGGTATGTCACCATGCTCATGTATGCACGTGCGTGCACGTGAAATGAATAAAATCAAAAATACTCTTGAATGAGCGTATTCTTTAATACTTTTGGATTAAATACTTTAATATTTAGTATATTAAAGTATACAGATTGTGTAGAAAAGATGATATGGTCATTACGCTCATGCATTCACATGCGCACGCGTGCAGTGCTAAATTTGAATGAACTTGGTACCCTTCTGGGTTAACGTTGTTAAAGTCTCAAATGCATAAAGTTTGTCTTATTTAATGAAGCCTACAGGGAATATGGCACCAAAAGTGAGATGGGGAGCGTTTGGGGAACATCTGTAACGGTCCCCGTTACAATTAGCACTAGTTTCCATTCTTATGTCGATACAATATCCTGGTGAGCTTCAAATAAAAAAAACCCTCAGAGTATTGCATATCTGTTTCATATTTGGATATTTTACTTGAAAAAGACGTTAATGGTAATCTAACAACCGAACTCTATGATAAACGTGATGATTTTAACTTTTCTATCGTCAACTTCCCTTACTTAAGCAGTGATATACCTTCATCACCTGCATACGGAGTTTATATATCTCAATTGATCCGATACGCAAGAGTAAGCTCTACGTATGAACAATTTCTACCTTTCGCACGAATGATGTGACACTGTGAGTTATTAATAACTAGAAAAAGCGGCATTTTTTTCTGTCTCTTGCATCAAGATTATTTCACTCCTATCATTAACCATATATCCTACACTGATATTTTGATCACCTTTGATGTTTCGTACATATTAAGGACAGAAGAATGAATCCAATATATCCAGCAATATCTTTTTCAAATGACATGGTCTAAAAATATTAATGGGTAAATAATCAAAGCGTAAAAGAAATCAAATCCTTCCACATAACGCGTAATAGATTTAATATTGTCCTTGAGCTTGAGATGTTCTTAAGTATAGTGTAAGATCTTTTCTTTTTTCTTTTCCATTGCTCCTTTCTTTAAACGAATTTAATCAGTCATTACATTAACATTTTAAATTGTAAGAAGCGTGTGCGATAACCTTTGCCAGGTCTTGTCCAAAATTTTGTGCTCGCAATACTAAAAATGTAGTCACTTAAAAAGTGAACAACATTCGATTAAGTATAAAGCCAAATTCGATTACTGCATACGTTTTTTACTAAAAAAAACTTCACTAGTGGAAATGAAAAAAAAGTTTTAAAGCCAAATACGAGTATGTCATCTTATGACTAACTGAATCTTTTACGCAGCATTCAGTTACTAAAAAGTGGAAAAGTTAAAATCTTCAAATTATCTACTTGTATACTTATAATGATAACACTTGTTTTCTATTAACGCATTATTCATTATAAATCTTTATATTTACATAACAGCATTAACTTAGTAGTGACGATCCTACGTTTGTTTCTTTTCCTGTTTTGTATTGATCGTACCACAGAATTTTAGAAATCCTGATTGATATATTTTATTATTTTGTATATATTTAAATAAAGAAAAATTGTTTGATTCAATTTAATTATACACTACTAGCTTTTAACCCCCCCTCCTCCCCGTCCTTATGAAAATCTCGCTCTGTCTTTCTCTTTATCCTACAGCGTACAGTGCTCTTGGATTGTGTATACTTCTTCTTTTTGCTTCGATGAACATATACAGGGGCGTACTGGGAAATATACTGGGATATACCATAGGTGTCTATAGGGAACACTAGTCATATACAGTTGCATACTATAGGAGTACCTGGGTATATTGTAGGTCACTGTGGCATGCTGGGGATACATACCGTGGCATACTGAGATTTACTGAATGTACAGAGCATTCATACCGTATCATACTGTGGATATATCGTAGATAACTCTAAAAATGCTGTAAGATACGAGAAAGACAGGAAATTTTCATACGGATAGGGTATTTAAAAGCCAGGAGTGATAAATATCGTACTGAAACACAATCAATGAGATTGAACACAACTTACTGTAAATGTATTTTATTGAGCGCGCACGATATTTGTCGGAAACTGATTTTTGAATGAGTTAGCGTAGATTTGAATTAGCCCATTTCTCAATGTTCTTATTTATGCATGAGCAATACATTTAGCGTTGTACTTAAACGGAATTTCATTTCCGCCAAAAACGCCAATAACATAAAGCCAAATGTAATGCGTTTACAGTATTCCAACTTAGATTGTTCTCTCAAACACAAACAAAATGACAAAATAGTTATGTACAACCAATAATATTGATTTGTTTTTGTAGCATCCGGTGCTTGCAAACCGTTACCAGCTCCTACAAATGGGCAGATAAACTGTGGAGATTCGACGATATTTTAGTGAGTATATTGCACCAGTTATGTAACTTACATGATAAACATAATGATAAAAAATATATAGAAAATACCCATTTTAACATTAAGTAGTGTTTTGAATTTCACCGTAAAATTAAGTAGACATGCAGGGTTGACTGCTTAATTAAAGTTTTAAGTCCAACCAAAATCCTCTGGTTCGAAAAAAAATAATTCAAATTGTCTTAATGAATTTTCTTTTAATGATGATGTCATTATCGATGTTATTATGCCATAACTTTAATTCCGAATCTATAGGCTTAGAAATACTATCGCATTACCTATCAATTTATTATCAAAAGTATAAGTTGATCCAAGAAAAATTTATCAAATATGTGCATTTTTTAATGAAAGGAAAATTATTATTCGTCCAATCTGGCTTCAATGCGTACAAATCTGTTCGTCCATGGTAAAATATGTGTTGTGTGTCCCGGGCCGTCAGGCACAAGCTTCTTTCAAACACTTCTATTATTTCGACTATAAAAAAAACTATTGTGCAGTAGCATAAAAACACATTATTTAGCCATTGACATTGCATGGTTTCCTCAAATGAGTTAGAAGAAATTATTTGTAGACATTATATTTGTTCTGTAAATTTTTTCAGCCGCTGTACGGCCAATTGTAACTCTGGTTATCAGTTTGACAATGGAGATACCACAATACAGAAGGACTGTGATCCCCAGTATGGGATGTATTTTGGTTGCCCAACATTTCCAAAATGCATACGTAATGATTCAAACCCTTTCGGTCTCGGACGTAAGTATCCTGATCTTTTTTTAATTTAAGACTCATGATATCCTGTTTAATTATACATTAAGATATGTGTAGATATTGTGTAAAGCTTTGACAAATTTACTCCGCATTACAATTAATAAGATTGATTGAATTAACTGTGCAAATAAAAATTTATTTGCAATTGTGTGTTTATTTTTATATATACTCAAAGAAAAAACTCTTACTACCGGTATATGTTTGATGATCAAAATAGAGTTAAATTCCTCACATCAATGTACGGACATAAAAACACATCTGAAGTGCACGTGAATACATTTACATGTATACACTCAGTTCCAAAAGTGATTGAGTTCAATGTATAGAAAATACTTTTTTTTAAATGAAAAGTATTCACGTATTTAAAAGAAGTATTTTCTAAATGAATCCAAAATGCAATACACATGCTCACAAGATGCACAGAAGAAGCATTGATTAAAAAATGATAATTGATATGAGAGAGAGAATTGAATTCGGATTTGGGGGGCTTGTTGTGTTACATACATGTAGATAAGTCTTTGTCTTTAGTATGCATTTTTACCTAGTTGTAACAGTATTTTTTTTACATAACAAAACTACACTAGTGAATATGAAAAAAAAAATGGCTAAATTCGAGTATGTCATCTTACGACTCACTGCTTTTTTTACGCAGCATCCGGTTACTGAAAATTGGAAAAGTCAAAACCTTCAAATTATCTGTTTGAATACAAATTATGATAACACCCGTGTTCTTTTAACTTTTAACATGTAATTGCAGAAATCCTGATATAAATATTTTATTATTTTGTATATGTTTAACTGAAAAAATATTGTTTGACTCGATTTGAATATATATCTTATTGAAACACAATCCCCGAAATTGAAACAAGTTATTCCAACGTAGATTGTTCTCTCCAACACAAATAAAATGACAGCATGGTGATGTACAACCAATAATATTGATTTGTTTTTGTAGCATCCGATGCTTGCAAACCGTTACCAGCTCCTACAGATGGGCAGATAAACTGTGGAGATTCGACGATATTTTAGTGAGTATACTGCACCAGCTATGTAACCGCCATGATACTAGTAAACATAATGTTAAAGAAAGAAATATATGGATAACACCCCTTGTATCTGATAAAATAAGCCATTAAGCAGTGTTTGAATTTCATCGTAAAATTAGCTAGATATGCAGGGCTTACTGCTTGGTGAAAGTTGTTTGCCCAACCAAATTCCTCTAGCCCGAGAAAAATAATTCAAATTGTCTTAATGAATTTCTTTTAATGATTATATGAATAGGGCCATAACTTAAATTCCGAATTTATAGGCTTAGGAATTCTATCGCATTACCTATAAATTCATTACCAAAAGTATAAGTTGATCCAAGAAAGAATTATCAAATTAATGAATTTGAATTACAGGAAAAATTTTATTCGTCCAACCGGGCTTCATAACATACAAATCTGTTCGTCCATGGCAAGATATGTGTGTCTCTAGCGGTCAGGCACACGCTTATTTCAAATACTATGAAAAAAAAACAACATATTCTAACCGAATGTCGAGATTGCAGAGTTCAGTTTCCTCCATTGAGTTTGTTTGTTGTCATTATATTTGTTCTGTATATTTTTTCAGCCGCTGTACAGCCCATTGTATCTCTGGTTTTCAGTTTGATAATGGAGACACCACAATACAGAAGGACTGTGATCCTATGACGGGGATGTTCTTTACTGGCCCGACATTTCCAAAATGCATACGTAATGATTCAAACCCTTCCGGTCCTGGACGTGAGTATCCTGATTTTTTTTAAATTTAAGTCTCACGATAGCCTGTTTAAATATACGTTAAGATATATGTAAGTATTATGTAAAGTTTTGACAAACTTACGCTGCAATACAACTAATTAGACTACTAGTAATTGAAATGACATTATATATATATATATATATATATATATATATATATATATATATATATACTTAAAGTGAAAAACAGCTTTTATTAGAAGTTTGATAATGATTGATTGATGGTATACTGTTTAACGTCCCTTTTCAGAATATTTCACTGATATGGAGACGTCACCATTGGCGGTGAAGGGCTGCAAATTTAGGCCTATGCTCGGCACTTACGGCCCCCGAGTAGAGAAGGATCTTTATCGTGCCACACCTGTTGTAACACGGGGCCTCGGTTTATACGGTCTCATTAGAAGGACCGCCCCATTTAGTCGCCTTTTACGACAAGCAAGGGGGGGCTGAGGACCTATTCTAACCCGGATCCCCACGGGGATGTTTGATAATCAAATAGAGTAAAACTCATCACATCAAATGGAATTTTTAAGAATTGATAATTTAAGTAAAAGATGTACGGACATAAAACACATCTAAAGTACGCATGAATACATGAACTTGTACATGTATATTTTCAATTCCAATGCTGGTTGCGTTAAATGTATAGAAAATACTGTTTAATTGAAAAAAGTGTTCACGTACAAAACAGTATTTTCTAAATGAATCCAAAACACAATACACACGCTAACAAAATGTACAGTTGAAGCATTGATTATATGTGATAATGAATATGCGAGAGAGAGAGAGAGAGAGAGAGAGAGAGAGAGAGAGAGAGAGATGGATCCGGATTTTGGGAATTTCTATGATATATAAAAGAGTCTGTCTGTTTATTATAGTTTTTTTTTAAATTATTTAATCATTGAAAACTTTATTTTTCAATATTTTAAAGCAATATATATTTTCCCTTGTATATTTTCTAGCAGCTTAAATTTTGCTAAAATTACAATAGAAAAGCTTTGCATCAGAAATATAAATAAGTGTATTAGAGAGGTAGTCAGTGCAATATTTGTTCTTATAAAATAGGAAAAAGATGAACTGCTATTTGTTTTACCCGACAGGACGTAATCTTACTTCAATATCACGGTGACTTTACGCACAAACGATGTAACACTGTGAGTAATTTATAACTAGACAAATTGGCGAATTTTTCTGTCTCTTTCATCAAGATTATTTCACTCTTATCTTTAATCATATCTCCTACACTGATATTTTGAACACTCTTTATTTTTTTAATAACGTATTAAGGGCAGATGAATGAACTCAAGATACCCAAAAATCTATTTCAAATGACATGATTTAAAAAAAAATCAAAGTGTAAATTATCAAAGTGTTAAAGAAATCAAATCCTTCCACATAACGCGTGATAGATTTTGTCCTTGACCTCGATATATTCTTAAGAACAGCACAAGATCTTTTGTCTTTTACATTGTTTCTTACCTTGAATTGTTTTCAACGAATTTAATCATTCGTTACATAAACAATTTAATTTGTAAGAAGCGTGCAACTTATGGTGATCCTATGTTTGACTGAAATACTAAAAATATTGTTTAAAAAACAAACAACATTCGATTTAAAGAAGTATTTCATTGAAACACAATCGATGAGATTAAACACAAGTTATTCCAACGTAGATTGTTCTCCCCAACACAAACAAAATGACAACATGGTGATGTACAACCAATAATATTGACTTGTTTTTGTAAATCCGGTGCTTGAAAAACCGTTACCAGCACCTACAAAGGGGTTTTCATACGGGCAGGGGTTTTAAAAGCCAGTAATGATAAATATATCTTATTGAAACACAATCAATGAGATTGAACAAAAGTTATTAAAACTTAGATTGTTCTCCCCAACACAAACAAAATGACAACATGGTGATGTACAACAATTAATATTGACTTGTTTTTGTAGCATCCGGTGCTTGCAAACCGTTACCAGCTCCTACAAATGGGCAAATAAACTGTAGCAATTCAACTATATTTTAGTGAGTATACTGCACCAGCTATATAACTTCCAGGATAAACATAATGATAAAAGAAAGAAATATATGGATAAAAACCCATTGTATCTGATAAAATAAGTCATTAAGCAGTGTTTGAATTTCATCGTAGAATTAACTAGACATGCAGGGCTGACTGCTACGTGAAAGTTGTCAGCCTAACCAAAATCCTCTAGCTCGAGAAAGACAATTCAAATTGTTTTTATGAATATCTTTTAATGATTATGTGAATAGGGCCAAAACTTTAATTCCGAATGTATAGGCTTAGGAATTCTATCGCATTACCTATAAATTCATTACCAAAAGTATAAATTGATCCAAGAAAGACTTTTCAAATATATGAATTAAATTACAGGAAAAATTTTATTCGTCCAAACGGGCTTCATTTGGTACAAATCCGTTTGTTCATGGTCATATTTGTGTTTCTCGGGCGGTCAAGCACACGGTTATTTCAAACACTGCCATGATTGCGGCTATAAAAAATTGTTGTGCAGTAGTATGAAAAAACACATTATGTAACAATCTATTGACACTGTATGGTTGAGTTTACGCCACTGAGTTAGAAGAAATTTATATATAGACATGATATTTGTTCTGTACATTTTTTTTCAGCCGCTGTACGGCCAATTGTAACTCTGGTTATCAGTTTGACAATGGAGATACCACAATACAGAAGGACTGTGATCCCCAGTATGGGATGTATTTTGGTTGCCCAACATTTCCAAAATGCATACGTAAGTCAAAAATAGATATAAACAGTGAACTGTAGCGTAAAGGAGGGATATCTACTTAATCATGTCAAAAAATAGTAAGGCGTTACCTTATAAGGTCCTGTAAGAAATATATTAGGGCATCTCGATCCTTAATCCAAATCCTTAATTATGTCCAAAAAATAATAAGGACCATAAAAACCTTAATTATTCAAAAAAAGTAAGAAATTTCCTTAATCATTTGAAGAAATACTGAGGCATTTCCTTTGACAAATGTGAGATCCTGTAAAAAATAATATATTTGGAATCATCGATCCTTAATCAAAAAGTAGAAAAGCATCTCCTAAATCATGTCAAAAAATAGTTTGGCATTTCTATCCTAAATCATGTTAAAAAAAATATAGAAGGGTATCTCATAAATCATGTGAAAAATATACCAAAGCATCCGCTTAATCCTTTAAATAAAATAATGCATCTTGGTCCTTAATCATGCCAAAAAAGTAAGGAATCTTCTTAATCTTGTCAAAAAATAGTTTTGATCTTTAATCATATCCAAATAGTAAGGTATTTTTTAAGTCAGGTTAAAAATTTGTAGGCATCTTGATCTCAAATCACGTCAAAGATATTTTTAATCATTTCCTTAATCCTGTAAAGATATTAAAACACCTCCTTAATCTTGTCAAAAGATAGTAAAATAACTTATTCATCCTGTCAAAATAAATACTAAGACACCTCCTTAATCCTGTCAAAAATAGTAAGGCACCTCCTTAATCCTGTCAAGAAATGGTAAGGCATCTTCTGAATCACATTTAAAAAAATCGTAAGAATCTCTAAAATGATCTTAAAAAGTAAGGCATTTTAATCATATCCTAAAAATATTAAAGCATTTACTTAATCAAAAGAGGTAGAAAAGTATCTACCTTAATCAAATCAAAAAATAGCGAGGCATCTCGGTAACCATATTTAAAAATGTCAGGCATCCTGATCATGTTTAAAAAATACTGAGGCATTTACTAGTACTTAATTATGACCAATAATTCATATGGACTTTCTTGTTAAAATTCTTTTTTACAGCTACAAACCCCCCAGTGACGAAATCTGCATCACCTGTGTCCAGTACATCCTGAACAAAAGCGAAGTTTTAAATGAGAGACTCCATTAATCACACAAAAGGGAAAAAAGAGGAAAATTAAATAAGAACTTTTAAGATTTAATGTGTTGTAAAATGCAAAATTTCATTTAGATGATGAATGTTAATCTTGATAGGATGTGCTTAAGATGTTTTTTAAGAAAAATCTGAGGGGCCAATGAAGCATGTCCATTATTTTTTTATTTATACAAAATAAAAGCTTAAGAAAATTTGTGAAGAAAAAAACATTTCACAAGATTCTAAACAATAAAGAATGCGGTAAACATGTACATGTATATGAAAAATCTAAACTAAAAGTTGAATATTTTAAATTGCTTATTTAAGCAACAATATGAATTTTGGTATAACAAATTTTAATCAGATTAAAAATTTTGATGTAATGAAGTGGTCTTCTTATTGAATACTTTGAAAATATACGTTTTTATTGTAATATTTTGTTTGTGACCAACACTTTAAATATGCTACATGATACCTTTGCAGAGCCGAAGGCGATATGTAATAGAATGGACTCTCCTTCAAGCATCCTTTAGTATGTACAAGATGAGGGTCATTCTATGTAATGAGCCTGAGGCTCAAGAGGGTATCATGTACCCAACCCAATTTGATTTTATTTTGAGGGAAAATAATCCACCCATATGGTGTTTGTTAGTTGTCACAAACAAGCTTCCAAGAATGATTTCGGCACGTGGAGCTGTGCTTTATATACTACTGACCAAAGGTGTGTATGCGTCACACAGGTCATTATTTTTTAGCTTCTTTAAATTGAGATACACCTCGCTGCACTCGGAGATAATGCTACATGATACCCTCTTGAGCCTCAGGCTCATTACAAAGAATGACCCGCATCCTGTACATCCTAAAGGATGCTTGGAAGAGGGTCCATTATCTTTGTTTACATTTTTATTGCAGTTACTTGTATTTGTGTTTGTTTTGTATACAGCAACTATTGTAAGTTTCTTTGGTGTTTTATATCCCTGCATTAGAAAAAGTTTACCGAGTGCTGTATAGCGTATGTCCGTCTTCATCGGTGACATCTGATTACACTGAACAGTGACTATACAGCCCCTTTATATATCCTTAGAAATGGGGAGAGTCCTATCGAATATGGCGGACAAATTCCTTTTAGGGATCGTTTTCAGCTTTAAGAAAGGTCTTGTCACAAGGAATACACCTGTGATATGGATTTAGCCGCATATATTCAAAAGTTATGGGCAAGGTTAAACTTTTGCTGACAAACAGTTTAACATGCAGATGTTGAGGACAATTAGGCGAAAAATCTTCTTTAGTTTCTCGGGCCATAAATTTCCAAATTTAATGCAGCAGGCATTTTTTTCTCTCAGATATCAACCTATTCTTACTTCTTTCTTCTCCTACAAAAATTATAAACTCAGCTTTATTTACAATATCAAAAAAGCTAAGCATTTCTATCCCCCTTGAAAAAATTTGCGAGTCTCTGTTAATATGGATGCAGCATTCATTAGAGCATTACATTTACTGTAAATACTACTGAGTCATGAAATTTAAATAAAAAATAACCTTAATCAAATTATTAAGTGACGTTTTTGGGGTTACTTTCAGATTTAAAATCTTAACGTTTATCAAATACTGTACTTTAAAAAAAATCATATTTGATAGAAAAATTGTTATCAAATGCCAGTCATTAAAAATATACCTGAAAAAGTAACAAATTATTATGACAAGGAATGCACATCATTTAATGATATATATCATACAATATATACACAATCTACAAAACGTATATCTTTGACTAAGACACAAATTTCATCGAGATTTAATACTATTTAGTTGGCAACTGGAGATTTCTTAAGGATGTTTGCATTCCTTCAAAGTAGTTACATATCATACACATTATCATGATACTTTACATTTACATTGTATTTCCATTACAGAAGATTGTATTAGTGTTGTCAGCTTAATCAGTGTCAAGATCTACTGATATAATAAATGAAAGATGCCTACAGGTTTCTCTAATTCAAGAAATATTTTCATTAAGCTTTATAACCAAAACATAAATAATTGGAATAAACATCATTTAGGCATGATTTTAAATGGAATTCTGTAAATTTCAAAATGCTTTCTTTTCTACAATTTTTATTGAAACTGTACGAGAAAAAGTGATATTGAATTGGTTATGACGTCAAAACTGATCTTACACAGGCTAATCACAATAACTAGTTATGGTGTCACACGACGTAGGTTCTACGTTAAGAAGCAGAGCAGAAAATGGAATCTCCAAAAGATTCATGAGGTGTAATCATTATATTTTCAACAATTAATCCTGTGTTGATATGACATATATGATACTGAACTTAAGACATCACAGATACTGACTTCATTCTATTTCATAATTGGCTACTTTATAATGGAAAGACATTGATCGTAAAATAACAACTTTTTTTAATCGTCAACTTCACTCACTGAGTATTGACGTAGAAATACCGTTATACCCTAATCACCTGCATCTCAAGAGTAAGAGTAAGCCCTTCAACGGTATATGACGATTTCTCGAGTGAAAACAAGATGTGTTTGTGAAACACTGATGCCCCCGTATGGCAACATAGCGAAGGTTAAGCTTTCTCAAATGCAGATCAAATATGTTGGTAGCAAAGTAAGGCCTTTTCACAAGAAATGCGAAACATAAAATGCTAGCTACACCTGTTCCAGGGTTATGACCAAGGTTAACATTTTATAATATAGGACAAACTCCATTTCAAGGTCAAAGGGTCAAGGTTGTTGGGTTCTAAAGAAAGGTCAAAGGGTCAAGGTTGTTTGGTTCTAAAGAAAGGCTTTGTCTCAAAGATTATGTATGGGAAGTACGAAAGCGCTGGTCCTTATCGTTCAAAAGTTATGACCAAGATCAAAGTTTGAAAAAAAGTAGGTCAAACTCCAAGGTCAAGGTCAAAATTCTTGATATCAAATGAAAGGTCTTACCACAAGGAATAAACTTGTGAAGTATGAATGCCGTAGCCGAACCCTTCAAAAGTTATGGTCAATGTTGTATTTTTAAAGTAGGTCAAACCCCAAGGTCAAGGTCAAAGAGTCAAGGTTCTTGGTATCCAATGAAAGATCTTTTCATCAGGATTATATATGTGAAGTATGAAAGCCCTAGTACTAACTGTTCAAAAGTTATAGCCAAGGTTAAAGTTTTTTCATAGATACGGAAATCTCCAAGGTCAAGGTCAAAAGGTCAAGGATGTTGGTATCCAATGAAAGGTCTTTCCACAAAGAATACATATGTGAAATATAAATGTCCTGGTATCTATTGTTCAAAAGATATGGCCAAAGTAAAAGTTCAAAATTTTTGTGTTAAAGTGGGTCAAACTCCAAGGTCAAGATCAAAAGGTCAAATTTTGTGGAACCCAAAGAAAGGTCTTGTCACAATGAATACACATGTGATATATATATATCATAGCTCCACTAAATCAAAAGTTATAGGCAAGGTTAAAGTTTTTGCGGACAAACAGACAAACAGAGAGACAGAGAGACAGACAGACAGAGAGACAGACAGGACAGACATGACAAAAACTATATGCCCCGAAACTTCGTTTACGGGGGCATAAAAATTCTCTATTCTCCATTAGAGTTGTCTTCCGCTACTCTCACAACATTGTGTACATACGAGGGTTGTCCAAAAAGTACTTGGGCAATGAGGTTCTTGTCAAACTAAATGGTTCAAAATATAATGATTGCATACCAAAATATTAGTTATAAAAATCCAAGTCAGAATAGTTTGATTTTTTTGTTAGAAAATTAATATTCTTGTAAAACTCGCGGTCATTAATGGTCGACGATAGTGCGCACGGACCAGGGTTACAATGTCATAAAGTTTTAATTAAATAAAGTGCTGTTATTAGAATGATTATTTTCGGTACGAGGGTTATTCGAAAAGTTCGTGGACTACTGTCATATCTTTTTTATTTGAGGTCATATGTTAACCAAATTTGGTAGAAGTATTTGGTAATTTAGTAAGTTACAAACAATACACTAAATAATGTCTGTTGTCATATTCTCTGTAAAATGGAGCAAAATCGAAAAACAAACTAGATAATCAAATTTAGAATTGTTACATTGATTCGTATTCAAAATTTTTGTTTGATATTTTGCTTTGTTGAAAAGAAATCAGTTGGAGAAGATAGGTAGTCCTCATTGAAAAGGACAAAAACGATGACGTTTCAGAGCGTCATGGAGCAGCGGATAGCGATGCAATCTTGTCTTTAACTCAGGAAAAATCCGGAATAAACTCAAAAATTCTTGAAGGAGTCAAATAAATATGTCACAAGCAAGTTGTGCACATGTGTACAAAAAGTACAGGCAATATTTGAATTACATTGACATTGTATCAGATAAGGACAATCTGTGAAAAAACGGTTTAACTGTAAGTATCTTAACAATAACTTTGAAAAGTTGGAATGTTAAGGTAGGATTCTTCTCATATTTCTAATATTTAAAAATTAATGAAATTTTCACAGAATCAAGAAGACAAAATCAGTAAGTGATAGTATCAGTGAAATTAAATTTGACCGTTTTATATTAGCGGCAAGGTCAGGTCAAGGTCATTATCTTTTTCTTTGACATTAAGAATAAAAAAATACTGTTGCCAATCATGTAATACCTACTTCTATTTCAAAAGTTTGAAGATTGTTCATTTTGCATGAAAACATATCACTATATCGGGTCTATAGCATGATATTACCAAATATACATAAATGATTTAACTTAACTGGATATTGGCTAATCCGAATTTTCTCTGTTTTTCTTAATTTTTTAGGATATATTAGTTATTTTCATATGCTTCCTATATTTAACTTTTTCTTATTTTCACATATTATAAAGTAGTCTTATAAATGTACAAAATGATACAAAAACAAAAAGTTTTGATCGTTTACTAAGAGAGAAAAATTACTTTTTATGGATTTTTGGCTCAAATCTGCACTTTGATAGGAAGCGTTTAAAAGCTAACAAAGTTCTAGTTTGTTTGAAAAATCATATTTATTTGATACATTTTGAAAGTTTAGTCCCTCATTATTAATTTAAATTAAATTTAAAAATTTCCCCAAGTCTTCGATTGTGTAAAAATTATACCTAAATTCATTGTTCTATTATAATTTTGAGAGACAGAAAAGATATTTTCATACGCCAACATTCCGCCAAAAATATAGTCCCTGCTAGTTTTCAAACGCAGTTTACAATTTCTATTTAAAGTTGTACAATTGTGATGAGGAAAGAAAAATATGGTCTTTTAAATTCCTTACACCTCAATATATTATAAGACATATAAGCAAATATACTTTGAATGTTTCATCTAGTCAAAAACCAGAGAAGAATCCTACCTTAAGGAAAGACATTGGCGCTTTAGAGTTGCTTACATTGTGAAAGTAGGGTTATGTAGTAAAAGAAATTAAAAATCGGACAAAGGAAATTATACAACGAGAGCAATTCTTTTAAAAAATAAATGTCAAAATTAGAAAAGATTGATTGTATATTGTTTAACGTCCCTCCTGAGAATTTTTCACTCATATGGAGACGTCACCGATGCCGGTGAAGGGCTTCAAATTTAGACCTATACTCGGCACTCAGGGCCATTGAGCAGTGAGGGTTCTTTATCGTGCCAGCGCCTTCCGTGACACGGGACACACGTTTTTAAGGTCATATCCGAAAGACCCGTGACTTTCACTTCTAGTGTTGAGCGCTTGGCGAAGGAACAGTCACTACCTTTGTTTACGTCTTAGGTATGACGCGGCGCCGCGATCGAGAATCGAACCCGGCCTCCCGATCACGAAGCGAACGCTCTACCACTAGGCTACCGTGATATCTAAGAGACGAGTGTTTACACCAACCAATCTTCACCAGATTTCAAATTATGGAAAAGATTTTTCAAAGGTTTAGGCTATTCCCATAAAAACACAAATTAGAAAAGAGATTTAACGAGTGGGCATTGGATTATACTTTGTTAAATGTATAGGAATAGTATTTTTATTCTTGACACTATATTTTGACGTTAATTTGCCGTTAAGTGTGCTCCTCGGGTAAAAAACATGTTGATTTTAAAATGAAGTAAATTGATTTCTGTGTATTCTAATAGAATGGAACTTCACACATCAACAATACAAATATTTTTTACGTATTATACTTATTTTAAATTCTCGTGAGAAATATAACATAAATCATACATGTTAACTCTCCCGATTTAGGCGGGAGTCTACCGCTTTTTCATCTCATCTCCCGCCTACCGATTTTACTCGCAAATCTACCGCTTTTCTTACAAAACGCAATTTTTATTTTCCAAAGTGGCCATTTTGAAGCCATAATCAGCTGTTTGTTATGTAAATCCTAAAATCTCGTTGATGTTTTCAAGATATCGCGTGATTTAAATCGGGAACACGCAAACGCTTTTTGAATACGTAGAACTCAAGCTTGCTTTTGACAATGACTGGTGAACACATCTCAGTGATTACATTAGCGACGAGAAATGTCGTCGATATCCCCGCCAAGAAAAAGGAAAAGATACAATTCTTGCTTCAACAATGAATGGCTGAAAACTTTTGACTTCATTCACAGAAGTAAAAAAGGTGATCTGTACGCATTTTGTACTATTTGTCATACAGATTTCTCTGTAAGCCATGGCGGAAAATACGACATCGAGAAACACAGAGAGACAGAGAAGCACAAGCAGTCATATAAAGTAAGATCTCAACATTCAAGTTTGAAAACTTTATTTAAGGCAGAATCAACGGACTTAAATGAAAAAGTACGCCAGGCAGAGTTACTATTTGTGGAGTACCTTGTGGAGCATAATCTCCCGTTTGCAGCTGCAGATCACTTTACCAAACTTGCAAAAAACATGAACCCTGACAGTGACATTGCCAAGAGACAATCTTGTGGACGAATGAAATCAACAATGATTGTGAAAAACTGTTTGGATCCGACATACAGAAATCCTGTTGTGGAATACTGCAGAAATAATATGTTCTCACTGTTAATAGACGAGTCCACTGACTATGGATGTGACAAATGTCTTGTCATTCTGGTTCGCTATTTTGACTCTCAACGTGGTGCTGTCACTAGATTTCTAGATATGCCAGTGTGCAATATTGGAACAGGGGAGGCAATTTTTGAAGTCATAAATGAAACTTTCAGGTACATTTTTTCAGAACATAATGTCATTTATTAATAAAAGATATTGATGAAATAATATTGAAAATTCTTAAAATGTATTTATTTCCATTGCAGAAAGCTTAACATTCCTTGGCATAATGTTGTTGCTTTTACAAGTGACAATTGTAACGTCATGAAGGGAGCCAACAATTCTGTCATATCTAGAATTAAAGCTGTTCAGCCTGATATATTTGATGTCGGCTGCATATGTCACCTGACAAATCTGTGTTGTGGCAGTGCTGTTAAGCAGCTTCCTTTTGCTGTTGATGACTTGCTGATAGATATTTATTTTCACTTCAACAAAAGGTAAAAATTAGCTGAAACTTGAGTCATACAATTTTACTATAGCCCTACAGGAAATAAATTAATTCCATTCCAACAAATTTTTTGAGTGAATTTATATTTTTCATATGTTAGTTCAAAGAGAGTTGAGGAATACAAGGAATTTGCTGCCTTCACAGAAACAGATCCATTGAAGATACTGAAGCACTGCACCACTAGATGGCTGAGTCTTGAGAAGTGTGTAAGGAGAACTCTTCATCAATGGCCAGCACTACAGTCCTATTTCTCAAGCCACAAAGATGTTGAAAGATCTGGAGGACGAGTGAAAAAAATTTCAGAACTTCTGACCAATCCTGAAGTGAAGCTCTACTTTTTGTTTCTTGATTTCATCCTTGTTCCTCTCAATGAGTTCAACACTCTTTTTCAGGTACAATTAATGAATATGTGGTGCTTTAAAATTTAAAAATATTTAGCATTGAGATAAATCATTATTGCTTTTATGTCATTTCAACAGTCTGATCGTTGTCTGCTGGGGTCCTTGAAGTCAGAAATGGAAAGACTTCTCAGAAAATTCACAGCAAAGTTCATCAAAGCTTCTGTCATTAGAGAACACAACACAGACCTTACTAAAGTCCCATTCTACTCTGATGAGGCCCAACTTTCAGATGAACTCCTGGCTGTTGAAATGTCAGCTAGATCCTTCCTGGCAGAAGAGGAGGAAAACATTCCAATTGCAACACCATCAAGATTTTTCATGTAAGTAATACAGAATCAAAATTTATCACTTTGAAACATGATAAACAACATTAAGAAAAGAAAAAAAAAATAAAATATAGAAATCATCTTATTATTATCATTATAGGTTTGTCAGAAAATTCTACCAGGCTGTAGTTTCAAAGATGTTGAAGAAATTTCCATTTAAAGACTCTCTGTTACAGGATCTCAGAATCATTGACCCCAAGAATAGAAAGGATGTTACAGCTGAGACAGGTTATTACATTTTTATCTATTTCAAAGACATGTGCACTTAAAAAAAATTAAAGTCATGCATTCTGATATCTTTTTATTCTTCTAATTCAGCAATGAACTTGGCTAAAAGGTTCAAGATTCTTCAAGATGAGGACCTGGACTCTTTGACTGATGAGTGTCATGATTATGTGGTTTCCCCTGATGATGACCTTCCATCAGCTGAACAAGAAATCAACACATTTTGGATTGAAATGTCCCAACAAAAGCTTGCCAATGATCAACTCAGATTTCCCAAACTGTGCTCTATTGTTAAAGCCATGATGGCAATTCCAAATTCAAATTCTGAATGTGAAAGAGTGTTTTCTTGTCTTAAGAAAATCCAAACCAGTTTCAGGTCAGAGTTATCTCAGGAGACCATCTGTTCCATTCTAGCAAGTAAACTTAACAATGACAATGTGTGCTTCCAGTCAATTCCAACAAAGGCAACTCTCCAAATGGCAAGAACAGCCACTAAAACCTACTGTGAAGAACACAAATAAAAACTTATGTCTCATTTAGTATTGTTTTTCATCTCTTTATTCATTATAATAGGTATATGGGGTGAATATTTAGCAAAAAAATGCCGCGAAAAATGTCGCGCACAATGCTCCCTCTTTTGGGGTAAAAATCTCCCTCTTTTTCACCACTTCAGGTTAACATGTATGCATAAATTGACTTCGTCCACGAATTTTTCGAACAACCCTCGTATTAAACGAGTCAAAGCTAAGTAAAGATTAAATATATCACTAATATAGCGGCTATAATAATTTTCTGATATTTTTAATATCGTTTACTTTATTCGACACTGAGAATATTACGCCATGAACGCAGGGAGTATGTTTCAATAAAATGACAGAAAAAGTGACATCAGCCATCCGAAGGGGACAGAATCCTACTAACATATAATTGTGGTTTAATATGATTGAACCGACTTCAAACACAAAATTCTTATTCAAACAACTTGAAATCATTAGAATATATTTTGTCTGTTGATTTGTAATTGATGTATACGGTTTTTCTACGTTTGTAAATTTTTAGACACCACAAGAAGTGAAAAAGCAAATTCAAAGAATTGTTGTCCCCCATTTTCGGTGTTTTTGTTGTTGAGATGTCATTTTTATGACATATTGTGACAAATATGAACGCCCTATCATAAGTCCCTTAGAAATTATCATAGAATTTGAATTTGATTTTTTGTTTTAAAATAAGGTCATTCGTGAAGCTCAATGTGGCCAGAAATCACAGTCTGCTCGGAAATATCTTGTCACATTAAATACACATGTCAAATAATAAAGTCCATATCTTCTCAATATAAGGAACAAGATGCGTTTTTGAAACACTGGTGACCCCGTATGGCAACATAAGGAAGATGAAACTTTTCTTAAATGCGAATGAAATATATCATCACCCAAATTAAGGTCTTCTCACACGAAATACAATTGTGAAATACGAAATCCCTAGCACCACCTGTACAAAAGTTATGGTCAAGGATAAACTTTTAAAAGAGAGGACAAACTCCAAGGTCCAAAAAACTGCAAGAAAAGTTGTTGGTTTCTTAAGAAAGCTCTTGTCATAAGGATTAAATGTGGTGCGGAGAGGATCAGAAACTCTTGACTTAGGAAGATGCGTCAAATCCCGATGGGTCGCTGTCTTTAAGGACGCCTAAGTCCGATGGTCACACCAAAGTCCCCTGGCTCGTTTCCTATTAGATGCGTTGTGCTAAAAATCGGTGGTCCGATACGCCAAAGTCTGATGGTGCGGAGGAACAATCAACGTTTATGACATCACAATAGCCCGATGCCATGCCGTTGTTCTGCATTCAAATTCTATTGAATTAGTATTCCTTTCGTGTACACAATTTTACTGATATACACAACAAATTATTAACAAAATCTTACAATCTCTCGATTGGACATCACTTACGAGGGTTGTCCAAAAGGTTCATGGACAATGGCGTTTTTGTCAAAGTGAATGGTTAAAGATATGCTCATTGTATACCCAAATATTAGTTATGTAAATGTAAGTCAGAAAAGTTTGGGTTTTATTGTTTGAACTCAATTTGTCATATCTCGTATATTTTCTAAAAGAAAAAAAATGCAAGAAGTATGTTTTAAAAATTGACTGAAAAAGCGACGTCGGCCATCTGAACGGGACGGCGTCCAATCAAACACTCATATATATTGTTTAATATGGTTCAAACGTCATGAAACACCAAAAATTTATTTAAACAACTTGAATTTATTAAAATCATAGACCTTAACGCTATAGGTCTATGTTAAAATATAGTAGTCCAATGATTTTCAATTGGTGTATACGATTTTTCAACGGTGTATAAAATTTCGAATACACATAAATAGTGGAAAACCACTGTTATTTGATGAAAATAGGAAATTCCTATTCATGACGTTGTTATAAATCTAGCGCCGACGGATTGCATGGGTTGTACATTTTGTGTATACGAAAATTTTATATTGCTCGTAAATATTTTTTATTGTTTTGAATTTTGAAATTTAAATTAGTTATAATCTATACATAACTATTATTGCACACACGCGTCAATGTGGCCTAATAAAGAAAAAAATGTATCCATGAACATGACTTTGACGACATCGTGTCTGGTGAAATTAACGTTACGCCAGACTGGCACGTGTGGCTTGCATATACAAAATATTGCCAGTTATCGAAGAAAAATAGTCTAAGCGCGATAACTCCTTTGTCTTTAACCAGATTTCCCAAATAACCCCAAGTCATAACATACGCTTGAACGTGCATCCTTTCTGCTTCATCGATTTTAATCACCCACCACCACCATCTTAAATGTGGTAATAGGCTACACCAACACTGATAGGATTTCACCGATCATCCCTCAAACTTTGATACATACTTTGGTCAGTTAAGTTATATAGTACGTGGATATCCTTAAAATGATGTGCGGTATGATATTATTTAGCGTGTTCGAAAAGTGTCCCTAAAAGTCACGTGGTTACACAGGCTATAAATAGTAAGGCCATGTAGTAGCACGGCACTCTAAGCTCTCTCGCTAGGATTAAAGATTTCATGTAGTATGGCTAATAGTGATGCAATGGAGTGCAATGAATTTGGGCTATGCAGTTGTATTATTTAAAGATGGTTATGTGTTAGCAGTATATAAATGAATATAGCACTAGCAAGCAGCGTTCCTACTTAACATGTGTTGTGTTTTATTCATTTAGCACTTCATTAAATTATATTCGGACGAACGAAGTGAGGAAGAATATATTTATATTCGGACGAACGAATTGTAGGAGAATATAAATATAGTTTTTTCAGCATACGAAATCTTTTGCTAGTTTTTATCTGTGTTTTTATGCTGTTTTCATTTTCTAATTCCAGTGCAACATCAACCATCGTCATGGCTTTAGAGACCCTTCCAGGCTGCAATCCATGCCGACGCACTGTAGAATTTTGCAACAAGCCATCTCTTACAACTTCTGTTTACCCTCCAGGGTTGTCAGTACCATATGGCTCCTCGTTTCTGCAAACCGTATGCGCTTAATGCCAGATTGAGGATCGGCGCTTACTCATTGACACTTGCAATAATACTTGATCATTGTCTATTGTTTTGATACCTTTGGTTTTTTGTACGTATTGACCCTTTGATAAATAAAATAAATCCGGGACAGATATACTGCCATTCTGAATTACTTATTCTTTCGAGATAATTGTTTTGAAGCACGCGCAACGTCCAATAGAATGGAATGGTACAATTCAAATGTCATTGAGCTAAGAGCAAAATCCAAATTGGGAAGAGAACAAACACGGACCTCTAAAATATCGCAGATGGGACCAGGTGCCATACTGAAGTAAACTTACCCTGCCGATTGGTCACAGTCGCCTTGCGCCCCTTGTCAAGATCCGGGCAAATGGTAAAATATGTAGACAATTCAGTGCTTAAATGATGGCTGAACAATTTGTTTGAAAAATGTCAGCATTCGACTTAATGATAGACTCTATTTGCCGGAAATCCATTGATTGTGTCGTTTTGTCCACCAAAGAGCTTGTTAAATGAGTCTGCTGATATCCATGTTTCATAAAATTGTTTTATATAAATGTTTTTATATAAAAAATGTTCGTAGAAAGATTATGATCTTGTTTGATGTTTCAACTAGTATTCTATATAAATTGCTGCAATAAATAAGGGAGACTGACTGTAGAAGAACTGAATTCATCACATTTATCATTAAAAAAATAATGAGACCAGCCCATTGGATGAGTCTATAAACCGAGATCCCGTGTCGCAATAGATGCTGACACCAAAATGTTCATCACTGCTCAATGGCAAAAGTGTCGAGTACAGGTCTAGAGTTTGAGTCGCCGGTGGCAACTGATGGAGTATTTTAGTGAAAATTCTTAACCCCTCCCTGAGAATTTTTTACTCATATGGAGACGCCACTTGCAGGTGGAGAGCTACATATTTTGTCCTATACTCGGAACTTACTGTCATTGAGCAGTGAGTGATCTTCTACGTGCCAGCACCTACTGCGATATGGGACCTCAGTTTACAGGACTGATCTCAACGTCCCACAGGGAAGCTATCTAGATAAAGACATGGCAAATTGAAGGAATATTTAAATGTAGTTGTTAAAGCAATATGAGCTTCATGTTTGACATTGTAAAACTTTAATGAAAATTTGTAAATATTTCAATCACCGAAAAATAGAACATTTGTGAACTTCTGTTCTTCACATTTGCGATGGAAGAACTCTTTACAAGCTTTGAATTGAAGCAAAATTGCATTAGTTTACTGTCGTCCTGTACAAAAATGATTTCTTATATAATACTGTATATTCAGTAGTACAGAAATATTTTTTTCTGAAGCATTTTTAAACTTTATTTTGGTCTTATTGTTCATTATGATTTATATTACGTACAAATTAATCGTAATATATAACATATTTTAACAGCAAAATAAAATTCTCAAAAATGCAGCTCATAATTTGCTAAGACCTTTAAAAACAGTATACGTAAACTTAATTATTTACTTACATACATTCATTTGGTAAAAGCATTTAAGAGAAATTCTTATTTATTGCGCATGAAATAATAAGGCATACACAAAACAAATCTGTACACAGGACATACGAACAAATGGAATTCCAGTGAGGTAGATCAGGTGCAGATAAGCATCGCCAATATTGACCTGCGCCGTCACACCCGCCATGAGCCTTAAGTATTGATTGGGAAGACAGAACACTTCGTAGTCGAATTAAGTTTAAATAAAATAAAACCAAGATGTCAGTCCTATGAATTGGAATGCCACATGTTAGTCTATAGATATACATGTACCACAGAACGATCCAAACAAAGGCTTTCTTTGATAACAACAGGGACGAAGTCATGTTTTTTTTTATTTCAAAGAGAAAAGGATGAGGAGCCAAAAAGAAAAAAAAATCAAATTATAAAAAAAAGAAAGAATAAAAAAAAAACCAAAAGGAAACTTGTCCAAACCTCATAATCCTATGAGAGGGGGATCAAAATTCTTTCAGTACCAAATTTTGTCCATAACAGTACTACATTACACTTATTTCAATGCACTGCAACCAAAAATACATGGGGGAACAGCCTTCCAATGAGCATTTCAATAGTAGTTAAAAGACATTTTGGGGAAAAAGTGGGGGA